ATAATGTCTAGCCATGTAGGCATAAACCATACTGGCCTAGTTTCAGCTCTTGCTCTCGTTAGTTTTGAAACTAATATGGTTCTCATATACTTCCTACCATACGCTGTGATGGGCCACAATGAAAGCGGGGCCTGGGTCAAAAGCGGGCCAAAACGGCCCGACCTGGGCCGCACCTCGAGACAGGCCGGCCCAATCCACCCCTAAACGGCCGGGCCAAAAGTAGGCGTCTGGCCTGACCCAACCCGACTTTTTGGCGTGAAATTCGCCCCCATGGCACGTAGCAAACCCTTTAGCAGGCCCCCAACACACTCATTGCAAACCTTTCCACACCTCTCATATGCACCACCACAACCTCCCTCCTTCCACTCACCCATTTTCTCTACTTCTTTGTTGACATTGTGCACAGACCAGCTACATCTACAACAGTTGCCATACCATTTGGCATGCCAACTAGTTTTCTGACTTGGGCATGATAGAACTACTAGAACTGTGCCTGACCTGCTCTCTCTGCCCCTCCATAAAACCCCTGATTCACCTTCGATAAAACATGGAAGATGTTCCTCAATCATGTTTAAAGATAAATTCTAACCTTAACAAAACTTTGAACATGACTTCAACATGGAATGATTCCAAAGGGTCCACAAAAGCAGACAGTGGGTTTGGATGAGAGGAGGACCATGGGATGAACGGTTCAAGTAGCAAGGGAGGGCAAGTGAAGAACAAAGAAACACACAAAGGCATCCAGCGAATCCATGGTCCGCAAGGGCTCAATCAGCGAACGCAAGTACATGGAGCTGCACCTGTTGCCATACCACTTGACATGCCAACTCGTGCTCTGACTTCTGCATGGTAGACCTACTAAAGCTGTGCCTGTCCTGCTCTCTTCCTCGTCAGACTTCATCTTTAAAGTGATTTAAACATACAACTATTGCAGCGTGGAAATTTATTCCAGATGCAACATCGAAAATGTTCACTTGCCCGATGATCCTTAATTCTTAATCCTGGTGAGTTAACATGGTACTATCCTAACATGCCTTCAAGAACTGATGGGCTAATCAAAGCAGACAGTCGGTTTGGAAGAGAGAGGGACAATGGCAAGAGCAGTTAAAGAAGAAAGGGAATGCAAGAGAAATACAAAGAAACACGTAGATTGCATGGTGAGCAAGGGTTAGGTCTCCAAAATGCAACAAGGGATTGCAGACGCAGAGCACGCAGAATGGTGGAGGGAGAGAAGATGTAGAGGCACTCAATTCAAGTCTAGCAAGAGTTGGTGCACACATGGGGGGTGCAAGACCAGCTACAGTTGGTGCTCTCACATTTCAGTCACCATGCCTTGTTCATCGCAGTCCACATTCTCGGCCAAGCTGCAGTCCCCCCCAGCCACCCACCCAGGGAAAATCGGCCCCCATGCTTGCTGCAAGTCCAACAGGACTTGCTCTGGCGGCAGATGGTGGGGGAGAGGGGTGTAGGTAGGGAAGAGAAGGACAGAAGGAGGGTGTGGGGCAGGGGACAGAGGAAGGAAAAATGTATGTCATCACCCGTGTGTCGCACCCTTCTCCTCCTCTCTCACTCATCAGCCTGTGCAGCTGACCACGGAATTGACACCTGCGGTGGTGAAGCACCAAGAAACTGTGACACGGAAATTGAAACTGCTGAGTGAAAAGCATCATGCAAATGGGACCATGGGCATGACGTGGTCTCTGATACATCCACTGGTAATGATAGTGCCATTGAAGATAGGAGGCATAAACGGGAGAGGGGGTCAAATAAGGGGTATGTATGGCTGGGGAGGTGCATTCCCTGAGCTCCATTAGGCACTTGAGTAAGTGATTTACGTACGGCTGCTATGACTCATGGTGAAGATCCTAGGCACTCGAGCTGCAGCTCTTGCCATTGCTGCATCCAGCAATGGCAGCAAGCCATCAACACATAGAATTTTCCCCCCATGACTGCTGGAAGTCCAGCCAGCAGAAGTTGCACTGGCTGCAAAGCAGTAGGGGCCGCAATGGAGTAGGGGAAAAAAATCAAAGGGAGAGGGAGAAACGCCCTGCTTCTGAGGGGGTAAGAAGGAAAAAGAGATGAATCCCTCCCTCTCTCAAACCCTGCACTGGACATTCGAGCAGACAACTTGAAGTGTGATGGGCAAGCACGCGTAAATTGAGAGGGATTAGGGAATATCGGGGAGATTTCTATCATCTTGCGAAACGACTTGCATGCTGCTGCATTCTCAAGGTGAAGTTGTTCGCTCAAGCTGCTAAGGATCATGCGTTGGATGAGAATCACGAATTTAAAGAATCATGGATCGTGCCAAATGGCACATCCGGTGTGCCCCTTGGCTTTGATAATCCGCTGCCATGCCACGATTGGTGCCACTGAGACTATCTTGTGCATGAGGTTTTGATAACTGGAGCGGCATGAGCTTGAACAACGAGACACGGGAAACATATCAGGGCACAAAGAAGGGGGGCATAGCAGCTGCTGCAGTTTTCTCCTGCTACTCTCTTCAGAGGAAAATTGGTGACAAACCCCTACGAGTGCTGGACAAGTTTGAGGCTGAAACCTGAGCAGATTGAAACTGCTCTACACCCATACCTAAGCAAAGATAGAGGTTGAATCCACTCTACACACATTTCGACAGGCAAGAAGGCCATGGACAAGGCAAGGAAGGCAAAGGTGTCGGCAGGTTCCAGCCACATCTGAAATGTGCCAACTGTGTGAAGGAAGCCCCAGCGGGCAGGATAAACTCTTTAAGAACTTGATCTTAAACCTCCATAGAAAACTGCGAGGGCAAGGTAGTATCTGCTACCTAGGCCCTCTAGCTACGCCGGTTACGACCGAAGGTGTCTTTGCGTTGTATGATGCACTGTCACCTACAAAAAGAATAATAAAAAGCTTGAACAGACTTTGTTGGTACGTTATTTCTGTTGGTGTTTCCACTGCTTCGCACTGCCCGTGACACGATCACAGCTGAGCTGAAATGCGCTCCGCGTCATCGTGGTGACACCTGAGTGTTCCTGCTGGAATGCTCCAACTAACGTCACCAAGACTACATAAGACATGAAAGCTATCAGGGCAATAAATACATGAGAGAGGGTGGGGGTCGAGGGCAGGGGGGGCGCCTCGGGGGACCAACTGAACGCCAACTTTAAGTTCGTCTAGTACTAGAACGAACCTTGGGAGGCTGCAAACGGGACACAGCGGATGGGAGAAACCACAGCGAGAAACGTCAGAAAGAAGAGTAAGCGGAGTCGAATGATGCGTCCCGCGCCTTCCGTTGCCATCGTGGTGCGGCAAGCTTCCACTAAACCCTGAATTGGTAGTAATTTTAATCGCTTGTGAATCTGTGCGTAATCAGTAGCAGTGGTTCTAAGCGTCAATAGAAACGCGTAAATACTTGTGGACGGTAAATAAAGAAACTACTGTATGATGAGAGCCTACTCGTAGAACCTGGAGTGCAGACGACATCAAGTTATGATGAGGAATCCATGAAAGCTAGCTTGAAATGAAGCTAGAGGAAAAGAGAGTGGCAGGAGGAGGTGAGGGTTGGGGATGAAAGTCCACTTTCTTGCCAAGATCGCTTTGCAATTTCCCACGTGCCTGCGACAGGCCAACATAGCTGACGAGCGTCAAATTCGTGAGTTGCGGCAAATGCGAAAATATCGTCAAGTTGCCCTGCTCTGGCGAATTCCAAGGCGATACGAGTTTCGGTGGTGGCGTTTTATGCCAACAGGGCGCGTCGAGCCACCGAAAATCTCGCCAGGTCTGCGAGTCCGAAAGATAGGACAGCGCTCCCTGTTTGACGAACACGACCTCTTCATTCGCTCGCGCAATAACGGAGCGAAACAAACAAAACCCACACGACTACTACAGCAAATGACGAATGATTCTTCCAGCATACCTTAAGCCTACAAACATGTTTGGAAAATCGAAATATGGTATAAGCGACCCGCGCCTGGTGACATGGTGAGCTCGCCGCTCATTCCGCGACCTACCTTATCGCGACCTAGAACTGTCAAGTGGTCGCTAGGCTAGTGATAAGGCAGATTTGACATACAGTTGACGGTTCAACAGAATGGGCCTCTAATAGCCATGATTGCTTCATCTGCCCTTCTTCCGTAACTTCTCTGATGTAATTTCGAAGGATAGTCGAAACCGGAACGTCACTTTGCTGAGTCATTTGGATACCGTATGAGCTGACTTAGCAATAGCACTAGTAACACTGCTCACCGCAATCCCTAATGTTTTCCATGCGATGGCAAGTCGAGCGAGGGTCACGTGCGTCGCTAGCTGCTCCGTGAGCGCCGAGAAATTCCGAATGGCCTACCAGTTGTAGCGCCACGCGTATTGAGAGAGGCGGCGTCACGAGCATCGCAGGCATCGCAGCGAGTCGAATGGCGTCAATTGACGATCAACGGAACCGTCAGCTTGCCTTTGCTGAGAATTTTCTAGTCATAATCGTTTCGATGCTGCTTGGGGGGATTGTGTTCCCCCCTCTTTGCTCCTCTTCCCATGCATGTTCCCCCTGCTTCGCACCAACGTTTGCTGTTTCATTCTGTGCTTTGTTGTGCGTTCCATTTCTTATGTACCCTGCTCTCCTCCTCCCCCTCCCCTTCTCCCTGTTTCCCCTTTCTTTCCCCTCCAATCCACCTGCCTTCCCGCCTCCTCATTTCTTCTCCCCACTCCCTCCCCCCTCCTTCATGCGACCTGCCATCCTCTCACGGGCCACGACAACCTGCTGGAGAGGATGGCAGGATTGCAGGATGGCAGGGCGACAGGGCGGCAGCCATGCACCACTCGCGTTTGCAGTGGGTCCGCGCAGCCATGTCGATCAGAAAACCATGTCGTCGCCTTAGCAACTGACCAGACGGCCTTAGCGTTCTGTCAAGTGGCCGTCGGCATTGCCTTCCTCATCGTCACTTTCAGCACTGGTGGGAGAATTGACTTCTCCCGACCTCCTCCTCTCCCCTGCTCTTCAAGGAAGCGCGTTCTCCCGCGGTTAGATGACTGACGCCTTCCTCGAGGTGGGTGAGAGGGTTGGGGAGAGGTGGGCGCGGGAGAGGGGAGTTGTGGGTGCGGGGATAGGGCTGGGGGGTAGTTGGGAAGGGGCTGGGAGATGGTTAGTCATGGAGGGGGGTGGGGGTGGGGATGGGGGAGGGGGGGGGGTGAGGGGGCATGGAGAACGAAAGAGGGTGTTCCCGCGACGAGATCGGACGGCTTCCTCGAGGTGCGGGAAAGGGGCGGGGAAGGGGTGGGCGTGGGGGAGGGGAGATGTGGGGGCAGGGAGAGGGCTGGTGGCTGGGAGTGGGCTAGGAGAGGGGAGAGGGGGGGAACAAGAGGGGAGGGGGAGAGTAGGGAGAGGGGTGGAAGGCATGGACAAAGAAATCGGGTGCGTTCGCAACAAGATTGCAGACGCATTCCTCGAGGTGCGCCGCGGGAGAGGGGGGGAAGAAGGGGGGGGGGGAGGTGGGAGTGTTGGGTTGGTTGGTGATGAAAGTGAGAGGGTTGTGCAGCGAGGAGAAATGAGTGACGACGGGGATTGCTAGCAGTCGTTTTTCGCTCGAGTCCCAACCCAACCCCTCTCACTTCTCCACTCTCCGCCACCCGTGCTACATTTATCGCTCAAGTGTGCACACATTGTGCGACATCCCCAAACCTTGGTCTCCCTGCCTGTTCCCCTCTGCGCCATTCCCACTCTTTCCGCCTTCCTGAAGGTGCACCGGGGAAGATGTGTGAGGACTTGTGCCAGCAGTAGCAGACGGCATGTTGCTGCGCAAGCTTGGTTTGGGTTGTCTCAAAGCAACCAGGCCTTTTCTCTCCCCTCTGTGCCTGACAACCTCCGTCACCCTGCCCCTCCGTGTTCCCGTCTCCCCCCCCGCTGCAGGTGTGTGTGTGAGTGTGTGTGTGAGGGCTGTGTGCCAGCAGACTGCATGGTGTTGTGCAAGCTGGTGTCGAGTCGTCCCCTCCTCTCCCCCAACCCCCCCCCCCCCCCCCCCCCCCCCTCTTCTGCCCCCTTTCACCCCCGCCAAGTGTGTGAGGAGGACCATATACCAGCAGTAGCAGATCGCATGGTGCTGCGCAAGCTGGTTCCAAGTTGACCCCTCCTCCCACCTCTTCCCCCTTTCTCCCCCCGCCAGGTGTGTGAGGACGTGTACCAGCAGACCGCATCATGGTGCTGCGTAAGCTCGCGCAGGACATGCGCGAGTGGATACACCGGCGGGTGAGCCATGGGATAAGGGGTGATTGTTATGGGATGGTGCCGGTAAGCAATGGGGGGGCCCGCGAGGAGGGGAGAAGGGGGATTAGAAAAGACGGAGGGATAGAGGGTGCTGGCACAGGACATGCGCGAGTGGCCGGCCTGCGGGTGGGCGAGAGGGGCAGAGAAGGGGGGGAGGGAATACGGGGGATATGGAAGGGTTAAGAGGCGATGGGGGGAAGAAGATGGCAAGGGTTCAGGAACGTGAGGTCTATGAAGCAGGATGTAGGGGCTCTCTCCTCTGCTCTTTGTCACCCCATTCTTCCCCTAACCCTCCCCCCCTCCCCCTGCACGCCTCTTTCCAACGCCTCTTCCCCACTCCTCTTGCCCACACCACTCCACCACACCTACTCCCCACTCCCTCTCTCCTACCCCTCTCCCCCACGCCTTTCCCCCACGCATTTCCCTCACCCCTCTCTCCCACCTCTTTCCCCCATGCATTTTCCTCACCCCCCTCTCCCCCCCCACCCCTTTCCCCCACGCACTTTGCTCACCCCATTCCCCCACCCACCCCCTTCCCCCACGCATTTTTCTCACCCCTCTCCCCCACCTCTTTCCCCCATGCATTTTCCTCACCCCCCTCTCCCCCCCCATCCCTTTCCCCCTCGCATTTTGCTCACCCCTTTCCCCCACGCAATTTCCTCACCCCTCTCCCCGTTCAAGAGGATGCTGATTTAAGAGTGAAGGTTGGAGAGTGCAGGAGGGTCTTGCTGCTGTAGTACAAAAGCCTGCCAGAAGTCTTGGGTTCCTATTGGGCTGCCAAGCACTTTGACGCCTCTATCGCCTAGAGGCGGGAGGCTGGTGATGTTGGCAGCCCCTCCGGCCGAGACCCAGTGGGTCACTTTGGCGGACACTTTTGGAGCTGAGAAGGGTGTGTGCAGGGTTCTGGCGCAGGAGCAAGTGGGGAGGGCTGCCTGTACGTGTTGATGATGTACGGTGAGGAACCTTGGAGAGCTAAGTTCCGTTGGGGTCTCCAATATGCCATGCGCCCAACGGAGTCTACAGGTTACCCGCAGCTGCTCGTCTCTGTTGCTGGTCTGTGTGTGCCCGTCGCACCCAGCTCGCCAAGAAGACCTCTTTCTCTCAGAGCTCGAGGAAGGGCCCGCATGGTTCGGGCTCACACCATGATCACATCACATAACCACCTCAGTACCCCATGATCTCATCACCCCAAGATCGCATCTACCCCATGGCAGAGCACCGTGGCAGGGTGCACTAGGTGTGCTGAGTGCAGCCGTCACTCTCCCTTCCCCTTACACTTTCCCATTTCCACCCCTTTCTCCCTTTCCCTCATGTAGCCCCTCCGATTCTCCATCCCGATTGCCATCCGCACCTCTCCAGGTGAACACAGTGCAGCAAGCAGCGTCCATCACACTGCTCCAATCCGCCTATCCTGCATTACCTCATTGCTCTCTCTTGCTCCCTCTCACCACGCTTCTCCCCTATCACCCACCAGTGTGCATAGTCCTCCCAGTAGCATCCACCCCCTGCCGTCTCTACACCCACACATTGATCAGCAAGCCCTCATCTCTACACTGAGGTGAGTAGTGCGTTGTATCGTACCTGCTTCTACCGAAACGGGTCTCTCCTCTAATTTGTGATCTGGCTTGCTGCCACTGCCATTGGCAACTCATCATCTCTTGTGTCCACCCATCAATTTGGAGGAGTCAGTCTCATGATCTTATTGCTTCATCACACGTTCACCCCATCCACACAGCACCATCCCCATTACCCCATCAACCAATCAGACCATCACCTCTTCACCCAACCAGCTCTTTGCCTCATCATCCCATCACCCCATCCCATGATTGGTGGGGCGCATGGTGCAGGCCGGTGGTACGGGTTGGTGGTTTGCCGTCCACAAAAGTGAGGAGCTGCCCTTGATCTCCCCTACCTTTCCATTTTCCCTTCAATCCCAAACAGTCCCTATTTTGCAGGCGCAGAGCCAACATCGCCAGCGTTAGAGCAGTGAGCTGTCTCAACAGTGGACTGGCTCATTCCAATTGGGCGCCTTTCCACCAGGCACTGAGCTCTGCTAGTTCTCAGCCTTCATCCTCCCTGCCTGCCCTGCCTTCCCTTCCTTCCCTTACCACCCTCGACCACCATTACCAACCCCTACTCTGCAGGCAGTACCCAGCAGGTGCAAGGCCAAGATCCCCACTCTCATCACCGTCGCCTTCATTGAAACCTTGGGGACCTCTGGCACTTGGCTTTGCCTCGTCCCAGCCTTCGCCATCCTCGCCCTCGCAATAGAGAGCAGCTCATTGCTCAACGATGTTGATTTCTGATTTCCGCGATTTGTCATTGCGTGGATGCTGCTGAATGGAAGTCTGCTGCTGCTGCTCTCCAAGGGTGGCGGCATGATTTTGTCCTTCCTTGCCCATTGATCCCCATTTTGAGAGTGTCAAGTCGTTCTACTTCTAAACAGCAGCCGGCTAGTTATGTTGCCCAGGAGTGACGGCATGTTCCTGTTATTATTACCCACGGATCTCTCCGACATTTGACCATCTGGCATCAATGCAAGAACTTCTCTTTGGTGTACCGATGCAGGGAGGGGAAACAGATGAAGGTGAAATGGAACACAACTAGAGGGGATGGATCCTCGCCTGACTGCCTCCCACCGACGCCACCACCAACCCCACCAGCAACCAAGGGGAAAGGGTGGACTCGTTTGCAGCGGACCTGGCTATATGCATTTGGTCAATCTGAAAAGCACTTAATATAATTGGTAACTTCATTCAAACTAGCCCAATTTAGCATATTTGGCAAGTAAGCAGTGCAGATATAACTTGGGACAAACAGAGAAAAAAGGTTACCACTTTTTGAACTTAAAAAGGTCATCTTTAGACCAGGGGGACTCACTTTCCGGTTATATCCAGAAAAACAGCCGCATCTTGTCTAGGTTGCGGAACCTGCCATTCTGATTTGATCAACGGAACTCATGCTGGTGGATAGCAGCACATGTGAGGATAAGCTGGAGTCTGGGGTGCCGCGGTGAGAGAGAGGATACGCGGGGGAGCGATGATACGCTAGGGGGGCGGACGAGTAGAGCGAGGCGGGGTGGTGCAGCAGCTAAAGTTGCTCGGAGGGCCTGCCCGGGTGGTGAGGGAGGAGCTCATCAGTGAACTTTTGCACCCGATGGCCTTCAGATGACTTTTGAGTCGACTCAAAAGGCAGCTAGAGTTGGTCCGAGGGCCTGCCCCCGGGTGGTGAGGGAGGAGCTCATCACTGAGCGCGTGCACCCGATGGCCTTCAGACTCATGTGCCTTGTTGCGCGACAGCCTGCCACACAGCACACACACGCACACGCATGCACACACACGCACGCGCGCACGAGCGCACACGCGCACACACAGACACACGCGCACGCACGCACGCACGCACTCGTACACACACACACACAAACAACCCCCCCCCCCCCCCCCCCACTCCCCCCTCCCCCTCCCCCTCTCCCCCCCCCCCCTCCCACACCCACACCCACCCACCATGCAGAAGGCGAGGATGCCCCCCACGGGCATGACGGCGAGGGTCCAGAGGGCGTGAGGCCACGTGTCGAAGTAGGGCAAGGAGGCGAGCGAGGACCACGGCTCGTGCAGCAGCGAGAAGATGCCGCACACAAGCGCCATCACGGGCGCCAGATACTGCAGCAACGTGAGCAGCGGGTTGGTCAGGCCTGTTGGGGTAGAGGGAGGGCGGACTTGCGGTTGGTGGGAGGCAAGGGGAACTAGGAGGACTGGAAAGGAGATAGTGGCATGAGGATGGCGTGACCATAGCAAATATGCGAGGAAGGGTGAGAAACCGGAGGATTGTGGCGTGTGGGAGAGCAAGCACAGCACACAGGCACTGTGGAGCTGGGGCTGCACCCGGAAATATGAGGTGAGTGAGGAGGAAGGGGCAACGCGACAGATGCTTACCAAGTGTGTCCCTCTGTCACCAGTAGAAGCGACGACAGCATGGTGAGATGGTGAGTAGATGTTGTGAGCGTAAAGGGTAAACAGGAGACGAAAAGAGTGGGTTAGTTGGTTGATGCAGCAGCACACATAGCAGCACAGCAGCAGCACAGCAGCACACAGTAGCACAGCAGCACACAGCAGCATACACAGCAGCAGTGAGCAGCAGCTTACCTGGAGGAGCACTTGCAGCAGCACCCATCGGAGACCCGCCATGAATGAGGCCAGCATGACGAAGATGAAGCCCAGCAGCTCAAACTCCGTCTCCCCCACCACTGGGAGCACCACACGCCACTCGAGGGCACACCACACGGAATGTCAAAAGCGCGAATTAAGTCAAAGAACTCTGCTCGACGCCCATGTATAAATCAGGCGTTGCGTTGCAATGCTGATTGGGGGGTGGAGCGCACGGAAATGGTAGTGATACAAGAGGAAAACTGAGGCACGGTAGAAAAAAATGTTGGATGGTCATCGAATTACCCTCCCAGCCCCCTCCCCCTTCCGTTCTCCCTTCCGTTCCCCCTCGCCCCCCCCTCCCCAACCTATGCCGAGCACGCCGACGGAGATGATGAGCCTGGTGCCCACCCATGCTTCTACTCTATGCATCGCAACGTGCTGTGTGTGTGGAGCGCACCCAAGTTTGAGTGCCACACTGGACCTTTTCTGCAACGGATAAGATATCACAAACACTTTTGAGTACACCCACGCTTGAGCAAACCCCCGTAAGCGGATCATTTTGACCAAGGAGACTGCAGTGAATGAAGCGGATAAGATATCGCCCAGTGACGACGAGGGAGAATAAGGGCAGGACAGCGTACCATGGAGTAGAAGGTCCGGGTGACGAGCGCGAGGGAGAAGCTGGAGAGGGCAATGTCAAGCGATGTGGCCACTGCCGTGGGCACCACTGCATGCACGGGGCAGAGCACACAGGGCACAGGCCAACACACGTTTAAACAACTAAGCATCTATTAGAAAGCCGCCTGAACCGAACCAGCCTCAATGGACAAGTTGCAGAACGTGCAAGCACGAGTTCCTGAGCGCGCCCATCCCCATTCTCAATCCCTCCCTCCCACCCACACGGCGAACCTCGCACGAAGTAGTCGCGCCAGGAGATGGGGGAGGCGGGCAGCCACGAGTGGCAGCAGAGGTGACTTTTGAGGCTACTCAAAAGTCAGTTGACTAGAAACACTTTTGAGTCAACTCATCAAGTTACCTCGCACCACGTGACCGATCAGTACCTTGTTGTACCTGCCCACCCACCCACGGCCACCACCGCCCCGCCACCCACCCACCCACCCATCCATTCACCACCGCCCCGCCCGTGCGTACATGCATGGCGATGCGATAGTGCAATGCATAGCGGGAGTGCACAGGTACAGCAGGGGGCGATAAAGGGTTGCTTGCAAGGGGAGATAGGAACGGGCGAAAGGGCCCTTTAGATGGATGGCCAGCCCAGTGAGCAATTTGATCACGCCCTGGGGGAGTGGCAACTACAGGGAGGGTGGCTACACAGGAAAAGCGACATGCTTACAGGGAGCGCGGCATGCTACAGCGCCATGCTTAGAGCAGCATGCTTACAGGGAGCGCGGCATGCTACAGCGCCATGCTTAGAGCAGCATGCTTACAGGGAGCGCGGCATGCTACAGCGCCATGCTTAGAGCAGCATGCTTACAGGAAGCGCGGCATGCTACAGCGCCATGCTTAGAGCAGCATGCTTACAGGGAGCGC